GGGATAGCGTGAGTGCAAGGGGTATAGCGTGAGTGCAAGGGGGATAGCGTGAGTGCAAGGGGTATAGCGTGAGTGCAAGGGGTATAGCGTGAGTGCAAGGGGTATAGCGTGAGTGCAAGGGGGATAGCGTGAGTGCAAGGGGTATAGCGTGAGTGCAAGGGGGATAGCGTGAGTGCAAGGGGGATAGCGTGAGTGCAAGGGGTATAGCGTGAGTGCAAGGGGTATAGCGTGAGTGCAAGGGGTATAGCGTGAGTGCAAGGGGTATAGCGTGAGTGCAAGGGGTATAGCGTGAGTGCAAGGGGTATAGCGTGAGTGCAAGGGGTATAGCGTGAGTGCAAGGGGTATAGCGTGAGTGCAAGGGGTATAGCGTGAGTGCAAGGGGTATAGCGTGAGTGCAAGGGGTATAGCGTGAGTGCAAGGGGGATAGCGTGAGTGCAAGGGGTATAGCGTGAGTGCAAGGGGGATAGCGTGAGTGCAAGGGGTATAGCGTGAGTGCAAGGGGGATAGTGTGAGTGCAAGGGGGATAGCGTGAGTGCAAGGGGTATAGCGTGAGTGCAAGGGGTATAGCGTGAGTGCAAGGGGTATAGCGTGAGTGCAAGGGGGATAGTGTGAGTGCAAGGGGGATAGCGTGAGTGCAAGGGGTATAGCGTGAGTGCAAGGGGTATAGCGTGAGTGCAAGGGGTATAGCGTGAGTGCAAGGGGTATAGCGTGAGTGCAAGGGGGATAGCGTGAGTGCAAGGGGGATAGCGTGAGTGCAAGGGGGATAGCGTGAGTGCAAGGGGTATAGCGTGAGTGCAAGGGGGATAGCGTGAGTGCAAGGGGGATAGCGTGAGTGCAAGGGGTATAGCGTGAGTGCAAGGGGGATAGCGTGAGTGCAAGGGGTATAGCGTGAGTGCAAGGGGTATAGCGTGAGTGCAAGGGGGATAGCGTGAGTTCAAGGGGTATAGCGTGAGTGCCAGGGGGATAGCGTGAGTGCAAGGGGTATAGCGTGAGTGCAAGGGGGATAGCGTGAGTGCAAGGGGGATAGCGTGAGTGCAAGGGGTATAGCGTGAGTGCAAGGGGGATAGCGTGAGTGAAAGGGGTATAGCGTGAGTGCAAGGGGGATAGCGTGAGTGCAAGGGGGATAGCGTGAGTGCAAGGGGTATAGCGTGAGTGCAAGGGGGATAGCGTGAGTGCAAGGGGGATAGCGTGAGTGCAAGGGGTATAGCGTGAGTGCAAGGGGGATAGCGTGAGTGCAAGGGGGATAGCGTGAGTGCAAGGGGTATAGCGTGAGTGCAAGGGGGATAGCGTGAGTGCAAGGGGGATAGCGTGAGTGCAAGGGGGATAGCGTGAGTGCAAGGGGTATAGCGTGAGTGCAAGGGGGATAGCGTGAGTGCAAGGGGGATAGCGTGAGTGCAAGGGGTATAGCGTGAGTGCAAGGGGGATAGCGTGAGTGCAAGGGGTATAGCGTGAGTGCAAGGGGTATAGCGTGAGTGCAAGGGGGATAGCGTGAGTGCAAGGGGGATAGCGTGAGTGCAAGGGGTATAGCGTGAGTGCAAGGGGGATAGCGTGAGTGCAAGGGGTATAGCGTGAGTGCAAGGGGGATAGCGTGAGTGCAAGGGGGATAGCGTGAGTGCAAGGGGTATAGCGTGAGTGCAAGGGGTATAGCGTGAGTGCAAGGGGTATAGCGTGAGTGCAAGGGGGATAGCGTGAGTGCAAGGGGGATAGCGTGAGTGCAAGGGGTATAGCGTGAGTGCAAGGGGTATAGCGTGAGTGCAAGGGGTATAGCGTGAGTGCAAGGGGGATAGCGTGAGTGCAAGGGGGATAGCGTGAGTGCAAGGGGGATAGCGTGAGTGCAAGGGGGATAGCGTGAGTGCAAGGGGTATAGCGTGAGTGCAAGGGGTATAGCGTGAGTGCAAGGGGTATAGCGTGAGTGCAAGGGGGATAGCGTGAGTGCAAGGGGTATAGCGTGAGTGCAAGGGGGATAGCGTGAGTGCAAGGGGGATAGCGTGAGTGCAAGGGGGATAGCGTGAGTGCAAGGGGGATAGCGTGAGTGCAAGGGGTATAGCGTGAGTGCAAGGGGGATAGCGTGAGTGCAAGGGGTATAGCGTGAGTGCAAGGGGTATAGCGTGAGTGCAAGGGGTATAGCGTGAGTGCAAGGGGGATAGCGTGAGTGCAAGGGGGATAGCGTGAGTGCAAGGGGGATAGCGTGAGTGCAAGGGGTATAGCGTGAGTGCAAGGGGGATAGCGTGAGTGCAAGGGGTATAGCGTGAGTGCAAGGGGGATAGCGTGAGTGCAAGGGGTATAGCGTGAGTGCAAGGGGGATAGTGTGAGTGCAAGGGGGATAGCGTGAGTGCAAGGGGTATAGCGTGAGTGCAAGGGGTATAGCGTGAGTGCAAGGGGTATAGCGTGAGTGCAAGGGGGATAGTGTGAGTGCAAGGGGGATAGCGTGAGTGCAAGGGGTATAGCGTGAGTGCAAGGGGTATAGCGTGAGTGCAAGGGGTATAGCGTGAGTGCAAGGGGTATAGCGTGAGTGCAAGGGGGATAGCGTGAGTGCAAGGGGGATAGCGTGAGTGCAAGGGGGATAGCGTGAGTGCAAGGGGTATAGCGTGAGTGCAAGGGGGATAGCGTGAGTGCAAGGGGGATAGCGTGAGTGCAAGGGGTATAGCGTGAGTGCAAGGGGGATAGCGTGAGTGCAAGGGGTATAGCGTGAGTGCAAGGGGTATAGCGTGAGTGCAAGGGGGATAGCGTGAGTTCAAGGGGTATAGCGTGAGTGCCAGGGGGATAGCGTGAGTGCAAGGGGTATAGCGTGAGTGCAAGGGGGATAGCGTGAGTGCAAGGGGGATAGCGTGAGTGCAAGGGGTATAGCGTGAGTGCAAGGGGGATAGCGTGAGTGAAAGGGGTATAGCGTGAGTGCAAGGGGGATAGCGTGAGTGCAAGGGGGATAGCGTGAGTGCAAGGGGTATAGCGTGAGTGCAAGGGGGATAGCGTGAGTGCAAGGGGGATAGCGTGAGTGCAAGGGGTATAGCGTGAGTGCAAGGGGGATAGCGTGAGTGCAAGGGGGATAGCGTGAGTGCAAGGGGTATAGCGTGAGTGCAAGGGGGATAGCGTGAGTGCAAGGGGGATAGCGTGAGTGCAAGGGGGATAGCGTGAGTGCAAGGGGTATAGCGTGAGTGCAAGGGGGATAGCGTGAGTGCAAGGGGGATAGCGTGAGTGCAAGGGGTATAGCGTGAGTGCAAGGGGGATAGCGTGAGTGCAAGGGGTATAGCGTGAGTGCAAGGGGTATAGCGTGAGTGCAAGGGGGATAGCGTGAGTGCAAGGGGGATAGCGTGAGTGCAAGGGGTATAGCGTGAGTGCAAGGGGGATAGCGTGAGTGCAAGGGGTATAGCGTGAGTGCAAGGGGGATAGCGTGAGTGCAAGGGGGATAGCGTGAGTGCAAGGGGATAGCGTGAGTGCAAGGGGTGAGTGCAAGGGGTATAGCGTGAGTGCAAGGGGTATAGCGTGAGTGCAAGGGGGATAGCGTGAGTGCAAGGGGGATAGCGTGAGTGCAAGGGGTATAGCGTGAGTGCAAGGGGTATAGCGTGAGTGCAAGGGGTATAGCGTGAGTGCAAGGGGGATAGCGTGAGTGCAAGGGGGATAGCGTGAGTGCAAGGGGGATAGCGTGAGTGCAAGGGGGATAGCGTGAGTGCAAGGGGTATAGCGTGAGTGCAAGGGGTATAGCGTGAGTGCAAGGGGTATAGCGTGAGTGCAAGGGGGATAGCGTGAGTGCAAGGGGTATAGCGTGAGTGCAAGGGGGATAGCGTGAGTGCAAGGGGGATAGCGTGAGTGCAAGGGGGATAGCGTGAGTGCAAGGGGGATAGCGTGAGTGCAAGGGGTATAGCGTGAGTGCAAGGGGGATAGCGTGAGTGCAAGGGGTATAGCGTGAGTGCAAGGGGGATAGCGTGAGTGCAAGGGGGATAGCGTGAGTGCAAGGGGGATAGCGTGAGTGCAAGGGGGATAGCGTGAGTGCAAGGGGTATAGCGTGAGTGCAAGGGGGATAGCGTGAGTGCAAGGGGTATAGCGTGAGTGCAAGGGGTATAGCGTGAGTGCAAGGGGGATAGCGTGAGTGCAAGGGGGATAGCGTGAGTGCAAGGGGTATAGCGTGAGTGCAAGGGGGATAGCGTGAGTGCAAGGGGTATAGCGTGAGTGCAAGGGGGATAGCGTGAGTGCAAGGGGGATAGCGTGAGTGCAAGGGGTATAGCGTGAGTGCAAGGGGTATAGCGTGAGTGCAAGGGGTATAGCGTGAGTGCAAGGGGGATAGCGTGAGTGCAAGGGGGATAGCGTGAGTGCAAGGGGTATAGCGTGAGTGCAAGGGGTATAGCGTGAGTGCAAGGGGTATAGCGTGAGTGCAAGGGGTATAGCGTGAGTGCAAGGGGTATAGCGTGAGTGCAAGGGGGATAGCGTGAGTGCAAGGGGGATAGCGTGAGTGCAAGGGGGATAGCGTGAGTGCAAGGGGGATAGCGTGAGTGCAAGGGGTATAGCGTGAGTGCAAGGGGTATAGCGTGAGTGCAAGGGGTATAGCGTGAGTGCAAGGGGGATAGCGTGAGTGCAAGGGGTATAGCGTGAGTGCAAGGGGGATAGCGTGAGTGCAAGGGGGATAGCGTGAGTGCAAGGGGGATAGCGTGAGTGCAAGGGGGATAGCGTGAGTGCAAGGGGTATAGCGTGAGTGCAAGGGGGATAGCGTGAGTGCAAGGGGTATAGCGTGAGTGCAAGGGGGATAGCGTGAGTGCAAGGGGGATAGCGTGAGTGCAAGGGGTATAGCGTGAGTGCAAGGGGTATAGCGTGAGTGCAAGGGGTATAGCGTGAGTGCAAGGGGTATAGCGTGAGTGCAAGGGGTATAGCGTGAGTGCAAGTCAAAGCATCGCAACCGCATCTCTCGGTACTACCAAAACCTCTTCCTCACCGTGCCCTCACTACCTTCGCCCTGCTTTTCTCTGCACCCACCCACACCCCCCTCCCATCTCACCGTGGCCGCCCTGCTCTCAGCGTGGCCGCCCTGCACTCACCGTGGCCTCGGTGTCCTCTCCTCTCACCGTGGCCTCGGTGTCCTCCCTATACTCCACGTAGTTGCCCTCCGCATCGAAGTACCCCTCCTCGCGCTCGTGCTGCAGGTTGAACGGCTCCATCGCCTCCCCCTCCTCCTCCTCGCCCTGCCACCATGCCGCCCCACCATGCGCCCATCCACTCACTCACACCATTCACCACAGCACAGCATGTGCGGAGAGGAAAGAATGCATGTGCGGAGAGGAAAGAATGCATGTGCGGAGAGGAAAGAATGCATGTGCGGAGAGGAAAGAATGCATGTGCGGAGAGGAAAGAATGCATGTGCGGGTCGACCAGCTCGGAGCATGGCACTCCCCCCTCCCCACCCCCCATGCTCCCCCTTCCCACCGCCAGCACTGCCTGCACGCCGTGCCCAGTGAACCGTTTCTAACACGCCGTGCCCAGTGAACCGTTTCTAACACGCCGTGCCCAGTGAACCGTTTCTAACACGCCGTGCCCAGTGAACCGTTTCTAACACGCCGTGCCCAGTGAACCGTTTCTAACACGCCGTGCCCAGTGAACCGTTTCTAACACGCCGTGCCCAGTGAACCGTTTCTAACACGCCGTGCCCAGTGAACCGTTTCTAACACGCCGTGCCCAGTGAACCGTTTCTAACACGCCGTGCCCAGTGAACCGTTTCTAACACGCATCCACCCCAACCGGCCCTACCATGTGCCTCACCGCACTCAACACCCCTGTGCTTCCCGCTCACGACCTTTTCTCACCAGGCCAATCGCCCCCATCCACATCCATCCACGCTCTCCCTCCATACGTCCCCTCTGCTCCCTTCCCTTTTCCTCCCATATCTATCCCCTCCCTCACTTCACCCACCTTCCCTTTCCCCCCCCCACCCCTTCCTTCTGCCCGTGCCCTCTCTTTCTGCTCCCCTGCTCCCTCCCTATCCCTGTTCCCCTCTACTTCCCCCCTTTTCCCCTCCACCGTTTCCCCTCCCCCCTTCCCCTCCCCCCGCTTCCCCTCGCCCCCGCACCTGGAAGTCCTCCTCGGCGCGCACCACGTCCTCCACGCCCCCGAAAGCCGTGTCCCCCCACTTGCTCTTCCCCTTCTTCCGCTGCTGCGCGCGCGCCAGCGCCGCCACGCGCGGGTCCGCGGAGTCCATCAGCGCCGCCGCCCCCACGGCGCCTCCGCCAGCCGCGCCGGGCTCCGCGCCGAGGTCGTCGAGATCCATCGCGCTGACGTCAGCGGCGGCGGCGGGCGCGCCTTTTGCCTTCTTCGGCTTCTTCTCCGGCAGCACCGCGCGCCGTGGCCTGCGCGCGCGCGGGGGGGGAAACGGGGGATGGGGGGAAGCGGGAGAGGGGAAGGGGAAGAAAGGCTGGGCGCGGAGAACGGAATTGAGGACATGAGGAGAACGAGGGGCGTGCGGCGAATCCGTCGCTGGCGAACGGAGGTGTCGCACGGACGAGAGCGACGAAGAACCTGGACGGGGGAAGGCGCGCACTTGGCGTCATCATCGTCGTCGTCGTCGTCGTTCCCCGAGAAGCGAACATTCTTCATCCGCTGCGCCTCCTTGCGCTCGTCGCCCTTGCCCGTCCCCGCCGCCATCAGCCCCATCTCGCTCTCGCCCGACATTGCCACTGTTACGGTGGTTCGCCGCTGCCCTAGTATCTACCGGCCTATGCGTTTGGGAAATGTCGACCTAATGTGGGCTACCTGCAGCAAGAACGGTGGGGCTGGAAGCTAAGGAGCTGAAAACGTCGAACTAAGAGCCATCGGATTCTCTCAAAGAGCTCCTCGGTCAACGAGTGCTGGTTCTATCGCCACCCTGGAACACTTTAGGGCCCTGTTCGTTAGCCTCCCAGTCACACTGGACCCACTTGAACTGGGGAAGCCTCTGGTACGTTTCGTAGCCTCGGGCGTCCACTCGCACTAGAAAGATGTTGCGTCCATAGTTGCAAGAATTTACCTCGCGTTTGTAAAAAAAAAAAACCGGCCGAATTTTGCCAGCTGCCCGACCCACAAACAAGAAATCAGTCCGCCAAATGGTTTCCCCTCATTATGTATTAAAGAAAAACGGAGTGTGAGCACGATCTCTCGTCGTTTTTAATTCAACAGACTAAAAATATTCATTCGGCCCGAAATGACACTAATACAGCGTATACCCTCCAGCATGCCACTCAGAGCGGGTCTGCCTGAGTGGAACTGGAAAGCTGAAATGGGATGGACTCCTGCTGACTGTCGAGTTTGCCTGGGAGAGAATTACTGTAGAGCCTGGATCGTTGATTCATCCTTACTCGCATGGCCTCGAATTACTCGAGTGGCTGTTGCCATGCTATAATCCAGGTTCTACAGTAATTCTCTCGTTTGGCTGGGCTCGCCAATTTCGAGGTAGTGTCTTCCCCTGCACTCGGTTGGGTGTATGGCGCGTTTGGTAGCCAAACCGCACTGGTCAGGTTTGGTGTTTTAATAACGATTTGGTAGGCTTTAAGGTTGTTTGAAATTGGGCCGCGGAAGATCACCTGCACCAACCACAATGTGACTAGGGTGGCTACCGAACAGAGCCTAGATGACGAATGGAGTCTGGAAGTGGCTTGCGTGGCGAGCGTGTGACAAGCTCACAGGGAGGATGCGATCTGTTGAGCCAGAAATTTCTTTGCCAAATGCTGATCCGATAATATGCGATTGACAAGCAGAACAAAGTACACGCTTAAAAAGACTAACATGAGATGATAATGTAACTTAGAAATTTCTTTGCCAAATGCTGAAGCTTCAGCACATTTCATAGCCTGACAAGCATCTTGGGATTCCTAAAAGATTTTCTTATTTGCACAACTTGCGGCTGCATCCCTAAACAGCGGACATACGGGCAACCTTGTCCCTCAAATAGTACAACTTGGCCCTCCTGACCTTGCGCGTGCCTATCACTGTGATCTCCTTGATGATGGGCGAGTACCTGCGCGGAGAGAGACAAGAGGTCATTGCTGGAATTAGACCTATACAAAATCTTGCGTGCATCAGTTGGCCATCAGCAATGTCATTCCGTTTCCTTTCCATCATGCAATGCTCGTACAGCAAATCGCAGAAAGTGCTTAGCTGGTTGGCAAGCACAGGCATGCGCACCTTAGGGAATACAAACGGCACACTGACACTCCGACGAAACGAGACTCACAGAGGGTGTCAACGCCCATGCCCACCAGCATGCAATGCATGCGGAATGTGAAGTTGATGCCACCACACAGAGCATGATAGCATCTGGCACTAGCGGTGCCTAATTTAAGTGACGCAAGGCACACTGACACTCGGAAAAAAGGAGACTCACAGACGGAAGAACGAGTCGATGCCCACGCCTGACAGCACGCACTCAGGACACATGCCAGGCATTAGGAGTGAGGTGCCACGCAGCCAAGTTGCTTCAACTGACACAGGGCAGCGACGCACAAAGAGTGAGGGACTCACAGGGGGAAGGACATCTCGACGCCCACGCCGGCCAGCATGCGCCGGATGCGGAACGTGGAGCCGATGCCGGCGTTCCTGCGCGCGATCACGATGCCCTTCACTATCGACGTGCGCCGCTTGTTCTCAGGCACCTCCTGGGAGAGAGGGCGAGAGGGGGAGAAGGAGGATGGCGGCAAGTGTGAGGGCGACGGAATGTGGAACAGAAGCCAGACAACATCAGTACAAGCACACAAGCCCTTTTGAGGCGCTTCATGGGTACTAGCACACAAGCACACATTGGCTAGTAACACGAGCCCCCATTGGCGCAACACGAGCCCCCATTGGCGCAACACAAGCCACCATTGGCGCAACACAAGCCCCCATCGGCGTAACACAAGCCCCCATTGGCGCAACACAAGCCCCCATCGGCGTATGAACTCCCCCAAGTGAGCACGTACAATCTTCATGGAGAGCACGTACAATCTTCATGGAGAGCACGTCCCCCGGCTTGAAGTCCGGCATGTTGCGCTCCTGGCGCAGCACCCCCGTTGCCTCCGCATCCAGGATCTGCACGGGCAGGGGGTGATGGGACGGGGCGATGGGACGGGGCGATGGGAAGGGGCGATGGGAAAGGGCGACAAGTTAAGGGCGGAAAGGAGAGGGTGGGGATGCATGTTGCGCTCCTGGGGCAGAAAACTCGTGGCGTCTGCACCGAGGATCCGAGAGGGGAGGAGCAGGCGGGAAAGGTAAAGCGGGAAGGGAAGGCGAGAGAATATGAGAAGCGGAGGCATGTTCGCCCCTGGTACAGTGAACCCGTGGAATCTGCATCCAGAATCTGAGAGGGGTGGGGGATGGGAAGGAGAGAAGAGAGAAGGGCAGGACGGGGAGGGGGGGAGAGAAGCGAAGGCGAGGTGTGGTCCTCTCCTCGCAGAGCGAACCCGCGTGGCCTCTGCATGCCGCGTGGCCTCTGCATGCCGCGTGGCCTCTGCATGCCGCGTGGCCTCTGCATGCCGCATCTGAGAAGAACGGGGGGAAAGGGTTTGAATGGGGGGCGGGGGGAGGGGAGGGGGAAAGGGGGGAAGTTCTGTGCGCATCCAGCATGTGAGGGGGAAGTTCTGTGCGCATCCAGCATGTGAGGGGGAAGTTCTGTGCGCATCCAGCATGTGAGGGGGAAGTTCTGTGCGCATCCAGCATGTGAGGGGGAAGTTCTGTGCGCATCCAGCATGTGAGGGGGAAGTTCTGTGCGCATCCAGCATGTGAGGGGGAAGTTCTGTGCGCATCCAGCATGTGAGGGGGAAGTTCTGTGCGCATCCAGCATGTGAGGGGGAAGGGAAGAGAGTTGACGTTGGAAGCGGCGGGGTGAGGACCACGAGGAGCCAATGCCCTCGTGGCGCCGTGAAGCCGTGGCCTCTGCATCCAGAATCTGCAGGGTAAGTGAGGTGGGAACGGGGGAACGAGAGGGGGGTGGGAAAGGGAGACAAGATAAAGGTGGGACGAGGACAGAAGGCGGAGGAGTGTGGGGCGAGGACAGAAGGCAGAAGGCATGCTGTACTCCGGGTGCAGTCCATTTGTGACCTCTGCATCCCAGAATTCGAGGGGACAGGGAAGAGGAAGGGGCAGAAGCGGAGAGAGGGGGAAGATGGAAGATGGAGGGGAGACACGATAAAGGCGGGAGGTGGAGGGAGACACGATAAAGGCGGGAGGTGGAGGGAGACACGATAAAGGCGGGAGGTGGAGGGAGACACGATAAAGGCGGGAGGTGGAGGGAGACACGATAAAGGCGGGAGGTGGAGAGAGACACGATAAAGGCGGGAGGTGGAGGGAGACACGATAAAGGCGGGAGGTGGAGAGAGACACGATAAAGGCGGGAGGTGGAGGGAGGATGAGAAAGTTGCATTCTTCGTTGGCTCAAGTTTTGTGTTTTTTCCATATCATTTTGCATCAACTCAGGAACGAGGAGGGAGGGTTGGAAGCTTGTACTTCTGGTGCAGTGAATCTGTGGCCTTCGCATAGAAATTTCGGTGCATGCTGTATGGTGCGTGCTCACATGGACTCACATTCATGATGTGCTTTGCTTGCTTCGTCAGCGCTTTTGTCTTCACTCGGATCCTCCCATTTCCCACCCCCTGTTCCCCTGTTGCTGCATCTCCGACCCTCCCTGTTGACATTGCTCCCATTCCTACTCCTCCTGCCCCTGCTGCTGCAGACGCTGCTGATGGTGCTGATCTTGCTGATGCTGACGTGGATGCTCCTGCGAACGCGGCTGATGTTGATGAGGCTGACGTGGCTGCAGCCGCTATGGCTGACGTGGCAAATCCATGGCTAGGGAAAAGGGAGGAGGATGGGATGAGAGGCGAGCAGCTTCTGGTGGCAATCATTCCTGCCTGGTGCAGCGATGTTGATGGTGACGATGATGGGGATGGTGGCGCGGAGAGGCTGGGATACCCATGGCCCATAACAGCGGCTTCTTCCTGTGGCGACAACGGCTGGCAGGGCGATGGGAAAGAGGGTTGGGTAGAGGTGGGCGAAAGGGTGAAGGGGGGAAACGGAGGGAAGACGGAGCAGGGGGGTCAGGCAGAGGCAGGATGGTTCCCCAGAGTGGGGTCATTACAGGCAGGGCTGACGAGAGTGAAGAGAACACTTGAAAGCGATCACGCTTAGTACTTCTCAAAGATACTGTACACTATTCGTTACGCCATGATTATCATAACGCTGACTTTCCCGAAACTTCAGCAATCCCTAGTTCCGGGTCAGGTTTGGGCCAGACTAGGGTCAAGGACCCTTTGGGACCAGGTTTGGGCCAGAGTAGGGTCAAGGACCCTTTGGGACCAGGTTTGGGCCAGACTAGGGTCAAGGACCCTTTGGGACCAGGTTTGGGCCAGACTAGGGTCAAGGACCCTTTGGGACCAGGTTTGGGCCAGACTAGGGTCAAGGACCCTTTGGGACCAGGTTTGGGCCAGACTAGGGTCAAGGACCCTTTGGGACCAAGTTTGGGCCAGACTAGGGTCAAGGACCCTTTGGGACCAGGTTTGGGCCAGACTAGGGTCAAGGAACCTTTGGGACCAGGTTTGGGCCAGACTAGGGTCAAGGACCCTTTGGGACCAGGTTTGGGCCAGACTAGGGTCAAGGACCCTTTGGACCAGATTTGGGCCAGACTAGGGTCAAGGACCCTTTGGGACCAGGTTTGGGCCAGACTAGGGTCAGGGACCCTTTGGGATTAGGTTTGGGTCAGACTAGGGTCAAGGACCCTTTGGGACCAGGTTTGGGCCAGACTAGGGTCAAGGACCCTTTGGGACCAGGTTTGGGCCAGACTAGGGTCAAGGACCCTTTGGGACCAGGTTTGGGTCAGCAACATTTTTGTGATGCATTTCTGTGACAATCCTTCCATTACTAGCCTAACTCTTCAACGCTAGCGCAATAGGCTCGTGAAAGTAACATTCTTTTAAGCGTCTCGAAACACTTCCGTGAGAAGTCCCCTACCTAATTGCCTAACACTTCGGTCAATAGACTGCTCTCCGGGGCTGGCAGCACGTGGAGAATCTTGACGGGCCAACGGTGAAAACACGGCAAATTACCAAGTTGAAGACACGTGGCAACAGGTGGACTTGCCACGTGGAAAACGCCGATCTGATTCCGAAACTACGGCTTCCGAATGCAGCGGCGGACGGTGCGGCGGAAGATACGACGAGCGACGTGGCTCTCGTCAGCTGCCGCTGTCGTGCTGCCACGTGGCGGAACATGACGTCTATTAGGGTGGTTTGCGGCTGCCACGCGAGCGCCGAACGGCGACTGGCACACGAATCGCCGAGCAACGGCTGGCACACGGATCGCCGAACGGCGCCGTGGCTAAGACCTACCCGCGCTGAACTACGACCTAGCAACGGTGCAAAACGGAGGAGCTAGTAGCGAGGTGTGCGGGAAGAACGAAGGAAAAACAGTGAAAAACGAGAGGAATGCCTAGTTGCGATGTGCAGCGAAGCTCGAAAACTTTCGCTGCTGGAAATGAGCCAATCACAACGAACCGAATCGGTGTTAACAATGATGATTCGCTGTTTTCAGTGACAGTTTCGGTTACCCATCGGTTTTGCGTGTGATGCGATATGAGACACGGAAGACGAGTTACAAGAGTCGCACAGCACTGAAACTGTTTGCTTAGATATTGATTGTTCTGTTTTGCAATGTCATGTCCATTTCCAATGAATATCCTACTGCAAATTCCAGATCCTATATGCTGAAGCCTGAAACCCGTCTACATACATAGTAGCTGGAGTGCCAAGTGACATATGATATCAGAGCATAGTTATTAGCACATTTGGATTCGTTATTAGCACGTTTAGTTCGTGGTGTGGCTTAGTTTCGTCCACGAAAGTGTGCAGCAGTAGGAAACAGCAGCGATGAAGCGAGTTCTGGTTACATGGTGAACATTGACAGCTCTCAGTTGCAAACACTCTTGGAGGCCTTTGTGCAGGGGAAGACGGTGGCCAAGGTGTCTGAATCTAGCGAGCATGAATAGTATACTAGAATGGATGACAAGCACAAGTAGGTCTAACCCTAATGTGTTGTACTCAGTATAGTCTACCCCATTACAGCCTAAACAACATAAAGGCATTTTGACACACCCCCATAAGCGAACATAACACGGTTACAAGAGCAGTCAAGAGAAGCAAACAAAGCAAAGCTCGGAGTGGATTTCAAGATCACAGTGTCGTCTCAGCACAAGCAAGCGGCCACAAGGACAGATCACATGCATAGTTATAGAAGCACAAGCAGTACAATGATCACAACCTAGCAAGAGTAAGGATGCACATATAAATATATAGATCACAGCACAAGGCAAAGCCAAGCGGCAAGCAAGTGAGGCAGAGTAGGCACAAGGCTAAGAGCAGTGCAGAAACGCTGATGATCACCAGACCCAAGGGCCTTGGTGAAGATATCAGCAGTGTAGAGGCCACGTAAGCAAGGCGAAGCTGACCATGCTGCTGCAACTTTTGACACAAAAAGTGACGAAGAGAAATGTGCTTAGTTCTGTGCTCCAGTCTGTGCTCCAGACACAAGGCAATCATGGCCTTATTGTTGACGTACAGAACCGGAGGAGAATGAGGCCGCTTACCCAAGTCGGTCAGCAAGCAGGTCAGCCAGCGTAACTCCTGTGCAGCCATAGCCCCAGCGTAGATCTCGGCCTCACGGCTGGAACCAAGCACAGAAGACGAACGAGTGGACCTGCACGGACAGAATCAGAGTCGAGACTGAAAGCGTTACCCTGTGACGACCGCTGAGTCGCTAGTTCGTCGGCCCAAGAAGCGTTCTGTGATTATAACCGAGCCTCGTCCTCCACGCACAAACCCCATGGCCGATGTACTGCACAAGTCTCACAGCACCCTCCTCGCAGCCTGCCCGTGCTCGGGTCGGTGTCTTTCGGGCGCAACGTAGCGCTCTAGGATGCTGAGAGGGTATGCGAGGTCATGTCGAGTGCAAGTCATTACGTACATGAGGCAGCCCACAAGCTCTAGATTATGACCACTCGGCTCTACGGACTCGTCCGAAGGTGGAGCTAAGAGCGAGTGGCCGAGTGGATTGTAGGGAGGAGAACTGGAAGCCGAAGGGCTGAAGGACCTGGTGCACCATGTATGACTGACTCACAGTGATGGTGCGCCGTGCTGTCCCGGGTGATCTGCAAGCCAAGATAGCTGCGCAGCTCACCTATGTCAGTGCATGTGTGTCATTTCGCATTTGAAGGTCAATGACAATGACAATGAAGCCAAGGCCACCATGGATTCTACCAGGAACTTCAACTTGACCAATGACGATCAATTGCTTGTCAGTTGCCTGTCAAAAGACATTATTTGGCAAGACGCTTACGGGGGTATATTTATTGTGCCTATCCCGTGGGCATGTTACCTACCTCGCGCTTGTCAGGCAATCCCGAAAGTCTTGATGCCACTAAAAGGTTGCTGACACATGTCGTGCATGCAGCTCCTAACAACTCTAAGGCACTTTGGGAGCATACTATCTACCGTGAACCAGCTTTCTCCATTGATGTTGTCAACCCTGGAAGTTACAACCACAAGGCGATACCAGGACTATACTATGGATACTGTCGTGGGATTTCAAGAATGCGAGACCCAAAACTGGTCAGAGGCTTTATAAAGTATCAATGCTCACACAATTTTCACTATCAGCAAAAGTGTTGAGTTCAGATTTTCATCATTGCAACATGCCTCGTCAACCAAAGAAGGCTGCTGCTGCCCTGAAGAGTGGAGCGGTTGCGCGTTCGCGACTGGAAGGGTCACCAGTCGGAGCGTGCTACGTCGAAGCCGATGCTGAAGGATATGGTCGGCCCGTTTGCTACTGATGACACCAGGGTGTCACTGGAGAAGAAGTTGGCTTCGTTGAGCTTCCAGAGAAAGGGGGCTGAGGAAAAGAGAAAGAGGCTGAGGTGGACGCGCCGGCTGCGAAGGTCCGTGCGGAACCTGCGAACGAAGAAGATGAAGAGGAGATAGCTGACGACGGTTATTTGAGTGATGATCTGAAGGCTGGACCCTGTTCGAGCTGGGGTGATCACGGCGCTCGCAGGCTACACGCTTACCCTGTTGATTCCGCAGGATTTTGAGAAGGAAGTTCCATGCATCACTGATACAATGAAGGAGTTGTTGGTTGTGTGGAAGAAGGCGCTGTCGTCGCACGCGTAGAAGACAACGAAGATGCAGACGCTGCTGCTTGCTTACCTGTCAAAGAAGCGTTTCGGGAGGCTGCAGGTCACCTTCCAGGAGGCGGCGGATGCGAATTATGTCTGGTGCCATTGCGTGGAGCATATCTACACGGATGGGAAGACCAAGCTGTTTCTGGACTGGCAGCATCCTGAAAACTCATTGAACATCAAGGAGCGCGCGCAGAACCCGGATGCTATCGATGTGTTGCTGAAGGGGGTTATGGCTGAGATTTTGTCGGATATGATCTATAAGCTCCTTGTTACGACTCTACTGGAGAAGTGCGGTCGTCCGCCGTACCAGTTTGGTGCGGCTTTCCATCGGGTGGTGGATCCTGTGACGGGAGCGGACACTCATAAGATAAAAGGGTTGGTGAAAGTCCACCCGAGGGATAAGTATCGGTGGTGACACATGCTTTATGACACGGTCCATCACAAGCAGCTGCTTGTTCATTTCCCCTCGCTCAATTGTGGTTTTTTGCAACGGCATGCACTTTACGAAGCTGCACGATGACTATGTCACAGATAGGCAGGAGAACATCGGAAGTGGAATTTGACCCTGCAGCGAATCCATGACATCAATTGTATTTTTATTTTTTTTTCGAATGCGTATGCACTATAGCAATGCAATTACATTCACAGTCGTAACTGGATTTTGGGGGGAAACGGTGTACCCCAGCCAAGGCTCGGGTGCCTCCGCCCTACGCGTGTTTACGGTGGTCGGTGGAAGGTCTTAGGGTTCTGCCAAATGGAAAGGAATCCCACCCTCCACGTGGCTTGCTCCCCTGCCTCGCATATCCTCGAGATCGCCACCCTTTCATCTCCTACCAAACCGCCCCACGGGTCCCGTGGCTGCCCCTGGATGCTGTAACCTGTTGCCCTCCTCAACTTTTCTGCTCTGTACAGTCTCGCATGCGGCATGCATATATTGCCGCCCTTGCAACCTTTTTCCGCAGGAACTTCTCCTTCCGGAAAATCGCATCCACCCTGGCCAACCAGATTCTCCGCATCGTCACCGCTGTCAATGTAGCCCCCGGAAAACCGGATTTCGTGGCCCCTTCTTTGAACAGCATGTCGCCTAGCGACCTCGTTTGATCCGCAGGGTCTATCATCCTCAGCGAGCTCAGCAGCACGCCGATCACCGGTTGGATGACAGAGCAAGTGAGCATGCAGTGATCCGGGGTTTCTGGTGCCTCGCAGTGCGGGGAGCTCCCCCTTGGATCCAGGAAAACCAGCCTCCCCCCACATGCAGGTTCTTGCTGTGCATTTTCAGCACCACGTCCTGTGCTATGTAGGGGATTGCCAGAGAGTCTCTCCTCTCTCTCACTGCCTTCCAGTCGATCTTCTTGCCCAGCTCTTTGTCCCACTCGTGACTCCCTGTCGCTGTCAACTCCCTGTCGCTGACTGAAGCCTCGAGCAACGTAACGCGCCTTGAAGTCAGGCGGAGAACCCGGCGGCCGCTTCACCCTGAAAATCCACATGCCACTGACGATGTTCGCCCCAGGAGGGGGAACCTCGTCGTCGTAGGTGCCTGTGGACTTCCAGGATGCCATCTCTGCGTCCATGGCTGACTGCTACTGAGAGGAGTAGGGACCCTCTATCGCCTCTGCGTAAGAGCGCGGGGTCGGGATGTCTGGTGCATCCAGGTCTCCCTCAGGTGCAATCAGCATGGACACAAGATGAGGTACAGCGGCTGCAAAGCACTCAAAGTCCTCCTGCTTGTCCTCAAGGACGTCCGTGCCAAGAGCACACTCACCCCCGACGGACGGAGGACAGACAGACTCAGACTCAGCAACAAGACTCGCGGAGTAGTCTAGACGACAGTGAGCAGCAAAGTCGACAAGCTGAGCAACTAAGGCAAACGAAGCAGTGGACTCAAAGGAAGGGTCACTGACAACAGTGGCCAGGAGACACGTGACAGTAGGACTGGCAGCACGAAGGAGTCAGACTCCGGGTCAGCAAGGGTAGGAAGAGAGGACGCAGGAGGAGACGGCAGAGGGAGACGTTGCGGGGCAGTGGAAGGACGTAGAGCCA